TTACAAATGGCTGTCTGGTTGAAACGACGAGGGGGGAGCATCGACTTTTTTGGGGGCAAAATGAATGTACGTAGCTGAAAATAGACACCAACATCGGGAGCCTACAAGGTACTTGTTAAGCTTAAGGTTCTGTATTGATATTAGCTATTTAGCTAACATTGATATTTAGCTAACTTTACCTGCATCCAACAGCTTTACTCAACTCAGCCGGTTAGTTTGGGGGAAAAACTGTGAAAAGTTCTTTGCGTTTTGCTGGTTTGCTGTCATGATTCTAACACACCTGCATAGCTCCGCACAGCAGCAGCAGGTCTCCTTCACTGCCGCACAGGTGGAAACCCAGCGCGAGCGTCGTAACGCTCATGTTGCGTTTAAAGGCGGCTCGGAAAAACAGGTTGCCACATGTTAGCAACGGATTAAACAGTTTTAACTGCTGATAAAAGTGACAGAGGACACAGATATGGGAAGTGTAGCCCTTACTGTATCAAACTGACATAGGAATAACAGAAAGTTGACCATTCTAAGGTACAAACCCAGCGCATACAGCGTTCATGTTTTACGCTTCTCGCGCCCCCCATGCAATGGCACTGCGCCCCCCATCCCCTAGGGGGCGCGCCCCACAGTTTGGGAAGCTCTGGTGTAGGAGATAATGGCTTTAATAATAGCTGAACAGAACTTTGAGAACTGTTTATCTTATTCCCTTCTACATGGTGCTTTACGATATCACATACAGTTTCAACTGTAATGTGATGAAGGGTGTTGGTAAAAGACTGGTGTGGAGGCACACCAGAATCCTTAATTTATCAAAAATCCTTCAAACCATGTTTGCATAAAATATGCAAATGTCAGCAGTCACTACCCATACTGAATTAGAAAAAAAATCAAAATAAGTAGCAGGAGAGTTTTTGGTTTCAAAAATGCCCCATCCTACACACTTCCTGCCTTTTTAGTGGGTGTAGCAACAAATGCTGCCATTAATGTTTTAAGCCTTCTCTTTTCTACCATAATGACAGCATTAATGTTGAAAAGTATATTTTGTAGGTTAACAATGACAACAACCGGATGCAGGAATGATAAATGACAGGCTCTATCAATCATAATCGCTGGACTGCTTTGTTTAATGTTTTACGTTGGAAGTTGTGTGTTGGATTGTATTACAATCCTGCGCGTAGCTTCCTTTGTTGTTGTGTATGAGACAGGAAGAGCAAGGAAATCACTCCAGTGATATTAACCAGTTACTTCACATACTGATGCGATTTCACGCTATCAGACTCTTGTGTGCACATACACCAACACCCACAAGTCTCTTCCTAACCCACTTTCAATTTCTGTAAGGGAATTTTGCTTTCACTTCATAAATCTTGAAACACGTAAACCCAGATTTAAATTGTGACACAATAAAACGAGTGGTGTGTTTGTGCGCACTGAGGGTTTTGCATCTGCTGGAGTGAAAGTAAAGGAAATTAGATTCTGGAGAGGAAGCAGGGGGATTTGAGTTTTACTTTAATGATATTCTATCTGCTGAAGGGTAAAGAGACGGCTTTATAGAGTCGCTATTATACCACAAGTTGCAAGAACGAGTACGAAAGTGGAAGCGGAGAAACACAAATGAAAATACAGTGATGGTCTAAAAAAAAAAAAAGAGCCACCACCACTTCTCATTTCTTAAAAAGTCTTGGAAGATGACAAATCCTTTGGTCACAGAGAAGAACCTAATCTGTTTCAGAGTATCACATTATTGGCATGCATCAAGAAAATTTCCTTAGCTTCTGCCAGCACAATTTTGCCTATTTGACAAACTTTACAAATCTGCCTAACACAATGGATCATGAATTCAGTCTTCTGCCTTCCAGGTGAAGATATGTGGCTCCACAGTTGAATGAGGTTAAAAGTGGAAACATTGGTAAAAATCGGTCAATCGTGAAACTAAACATGGAACAATGATCAGTTCGAAACACCGGTCAGGTCTCTGCGTGTACTTTTGCATTTATTTGTGTGCGTATTGTATAGATACGCGTGTGAACAAAAAGAACTACGATGCAGGATACATTTCAGTAATACTTTGATATTAAAATGTATCACAATGTAGAGAGTAAATTTTCCACTTGAGGTAAAACCTTTTATTGTGATAAGAAATAAAAAAATCTGCTTCGGTTGTTGTTGATTCCTTCATATAAACTCCCATGGTGGTATTATGTCCTTATGCATTGCAACTGGTTATTTTGCCTCCTGAAAACATGGCACGTAGCATTTTAGGCATGATAGAAGATCAAAAATGAATACTGAATTTAATAAACAAATACATAAATTGGAGTGAAGATTATGATCCTACTTGTAATGAAGAAATTCAGTACTTTTTTTTTACTTCATGCTTTGTATGGAAGATGGATACGATTCCATGTGTTTTTATAAACATGCAAACTTGACAGTGATTATTGTTCCAGTCAAATGTTTGGAAATGAGAAAGCTGCTACACTTGGAAGTGCAACTTATGCAACAATATTTTAAGATTGTAATGACTGGCCCTACCACCTTAAGTCTTTGCATTGCACTCAGATGTATAATGGAAAGCCTAAAGTTTGTTTGATAGAATTAAACACAATTTAGCTATAGTGTCAAATTTCAGAAAAAAGACCACAAAAAAAACACATTTAAAGAAGCATGTTGTACCACTATTTCCACGAAAATGTAAAAATGTGATTGATGGGAGAATAAATGATGAGCACAACAGGGAGAGAAGTAACACAATGCCAGTATTTGCTCAACTGGCGGAAAGGGGAGGGGAGAAAATGTAATAAATGTAGAAAATGAAATGAAAGAAAGAAAGAGTGGCAGCTTTGGGGAGAATACAGAAAATGTTGTAGTGGCAGCACAAGGGCTTGGCTCTTTTCCAGACGTGAAAAAAGATCCAGCTCTCCTCTCCTCCTTCGTGTTTCCTCCTCAATTAGCTGTCTCTTAGCTGAAGGCCCACCTGGGCAGTTATGCGGCATTTATTTGAGGATAAACTGAGACATGATGCTGAGCTGAGTGATTTCATGTGGCCTTTTCTTCTCCCCCCCAACCCACCCTTATTTCTTGTTTACTCATCTGCAGAGAGGTTTTAGTATAAAAAATATCAATTGGTTGAACACTTGCTTTTTATCAAATTGAAAGACCTAACTGAACCCATTCATCATTATATTAATTTATTTGAAAATGCATTATGCACAGTGTTTTTTTTTTGTTTTTTTTGTAACAAACAGTTCCTGAAAACAGATTTCCTAATAGTTTCCTCAATGTTTTTTGAAAGAGCTTAAGGTTGACTAAGTCCTATCTAACATGAAGACGTTTCGCCTTTTAGTATAATCTTGAGGCAAGGAAACAATGTTATGCTACGACCCATGAAGGTCTGAGCACAAAATTTAAAATAAGATGTTTCCAGTGTTCATTTGTTTCATCGGTAACTAAAAAAGAGAAGCGAGAAAACTTTGTGAGACACACTTGCAGCTAATGAAAACCCATATCTCAGAAAATTAGAATATAAGTTCACTACAAAAAAAACCTATACTGACAACAAAAACAGTCATCCTAAAATGATGGAAAACTGCAGAGTACATCATCCATGCTTCACTTTAGCTCAGGCCAAGTTCCTGGTGAATCTAGCACCAAACTGCCATGCTCTGTAAAGCAGGAACTGGTCATTTTGAATGTGGGGGAACATGCCAAGACGTGCTGGAAAACAAAGTCCAAATCTCCATCAAACTTGTAGGCAGAAGGAAAAGCTGATGGACTTTTCGCGTAGCTTGGATTCTCTGCGTCTCTTTTCCCAGACTCTGGGATGTTGGGCACCAAATGAATTGGAAATGTTACTTTGATCTGAAAACTTTGGAGATTTTGAACTGAGTAGCTGAACTAGTCAAGTTTTGTTGGAATGAACATTCTTTAGTGAGCTATAGAAAATATTATGTAAACCTTTCAGGAAGATACAAGACACCCAGTTTCTTGTTTTATTTTATGCTTTATTTAGTCTAATTTTTTTTTTTTTTTTTTGGTAATGCATAATTTTAATCACATCGCTCTGTTTTCTTCTTTCAGGTTAACAGGCTTCCAGGCTCCTCCCCCTGTCACCAGCACAGGGAATGTTTTCTCCTTGAGGTTGACCAGCGACTTTGCCGTTTCTGCTCATGGCTTCAAACTCAACTATGAAGGTCAGAACGTGTCTGTTTTTGTATAAATGTTTGTATTTCTTGTTTGCAAACTGAGCTGTTTTTAAAAAAAAAAAAAAAAACCTTCAGATATCCCTAAATTATGCCTAGATAACGATCATTTTGAGTATTTTTGGGGTGAGAACAAAAAAGATGTAGATTTGGAAAATAAAGCTCCATATATTCTGAAATGGATAATGGCTGAAGCTGCATGTTTTACTCAGCCTCGGTATGTGAAATCCCTCACTTAACTGTTTTAAAGAAGAAGGTCAGATTTCATGTTTTGGTTTTGATGCTGTCTCGGGAACTCGGTTTCTATTCCGTTCGGGTCTGTCAGGGAAGATGAACTTGAGATGAAAAAGTGAACTGTTAAGTTGCTCAAGGAGAAGGAGAAGTGCCAGGTCTTGAACTCAATCCACTTTTTTTTTTTTTTAACTACTGTCCACTCAGCACAAGACATGATTCAAGTGCATCCTTTTTCAGCAGCTGGAGGCACTCGGACTTTCTGAATCGAGCAACAGGGTTAGAGCAGATCAGCATCTGATGCCGTAGTGATTTAAAATCAGCATCATGACTAAAATTGTTTTACATCAGTGATAACAACAACAACAACAACAAAAAAGCTTACCGAGTTTAAGTGATAGAATAATTAAAACATTTCATGAAGGTCGTCATTTTCTCCATGGCTGTTAGTCATGGGGAAAAAGCGACGTGTGCCAATCTCAGGAGATCTTTAATATCTCACTGTTTTCCTTTGAAGGGTTTATGTAAACATCATAGTGAACTATTCACAGATGAAAGAAAACAGATGATTGCTTAAAATGACGGTTAAAATTAGACCTTGAGCCAGCAGTTTTAGATCCGAGTTGTAGATTAGACCATCTTTGATGTCCTCATTGGGGCAATTAGTTCGAGTGAATGAAATGGGAGGTGGGTGGGGAAGCATGAAATCGTTTTACCAAAAGACAAAAATATAACTGTGTGCGAATGTGAAAGAAATGACGCAATTACAGTGTTTACACGTATTCATGATAAGCTGTTGTCACGCCAGCAGCTGTGTCAATTCAAAGAGTGCAGCTACGTTTGTGGCCCCGCAGGCAATTTAAAACCGCAGGGCATTTATATTTCTTCTGCACTGTCCGTTCCCAAGCTAACACAGACAGTAAAGATGATGGCTTTTTATCACACAGTCTCATCACAAATGGTTATTGTATGATTGGTGCTCTACGTTACAAAAGTTACTTTAGTACACGCAGTCAATGTAAGCAATTCTAAAGCCTTTTGCTAGCTCACCTTGGACCTAATCTCCCAGGGAGTCCTGCTCAAGCTGGAGACATAAAGCAAAAAGTGAAACGGCAAAGCTCAGGCGTCTTCAGAAATGTTAGCGGAATATCAATATGCATTTTAAACAACTACAAAATATAGAGAAGGAAACTAATCATATACATAAAACAACCATCCACCAACTGAAATCCAGCATAATTCATTACAGATATTAAAAAGTCAAGAATTTGCTTTTTTTTTTTCCATTTTCCAGCTCAGTTCTCAAAAGTTTCTTAAATACAGACCCATTCCACAGATTTAAATATAATTAAAAATGTGTTTCTTTAACTTAACTCACTAAGTGAAACTAATTATCTGGATAAATTATACACATACTCTTGCCTCTGTGACTTTATTTCATTTAATAATTATAATTTTCAACTAATTAAAACACATCTAAGGTAAGAATATTAAGACATTTTTAATAGACATGTTGCGTTTTACAAAAAATAAATTAAATACCTGCCTAAATGTTGTTGTTTTTTTAAAATATACTTTTAATCTAACAAACAAACCTCGTTGTAACCCATGTTTTAATTGAATAGAACTGTACAGTAGGATAGGAAAATGGCCTTAGAATCATCATATTTTAATGCTACCCCAAACATGTGGACTGTGAAAGAAAGAAAAATAAAATTTTACTCTGGGATCATTAAACTATTATTTTGACCTGTGATACAGCATAGAGTTTAAGAAAACACGGAAAGGTAAAAATAATGAACAAAGCTTTTGCAATAAACTGCAACACATGCATGTTCTAAACGAGCTTTACTATAAAGATTATCGGAAAGTTTTTACAAAGTGAAATTGTGAATCTCTAAGCCTGCATTCAAATTGCAATACAACTAAAATATTAACTGAATGAAACATCTTTGCTTTCTAATCTTGATATTCAATAAGAACAAGGCAGTCTTTTACTGTGTCTTAATGCATAAAACCTAAAATAAAGGACGATGAGTGCTTTGCTTTTCTTCTCGCTGTGTTGTATAGGTAAAACCAATTAGTATTTTGACATTTGCAGCAGCCTATGTTTTGTGACTAAAATACAACAGGGCTTGAATGAATCTCACGTTCTGTTCATGTGAAATAGGGCTGCTTTGAAATTTCAGATTTAATCTACAACACTAAACGGGCATTTGTGATATTCTGCTGGCATCTCATGGCCACAGAAACACGTCAATGCATTTCCTAACCGTTATTTTAACAAACAGCTTTGAAAAGACATCAAACCCAAAGTTACATCTTCAAAGCCACCTTAAGTCAAGCGTTAACTTCATTCTAAATCAACGTTACTACTGCTAATCATTTGTTTCTCGGAAAGTTTAAAATATTTCTACGTATAGCACATCATTCCCACACATTTGTCATAAGAGCTATTTTTCACCATGATGCTACCAAACTCCGTGAGAGTCTTTCTGCCTCCAATCGTGGGTCACTGTTGCCCGTCTTTGAGGGAGAGGTGGAGAACTGATGGGTAATCATTGAATTGCTCTGGGTCTGTTGCACTGCGTAATCACGCCGCCGCTGATTGCCGAGCGCCTGTGTTTGAATCTACACAAATGCTTCATCTGAGTTCATATCTTCATGGGTGTCTGGATATTACAAGTTGAAGCAGTTGTCCTAGATTTACTGACTGGCACAGATTTCCACCAAGACACTTGGCACATGATTGCTCTGTGCAATTTCTGTGTATCTATGTCTGTGTGTAGATGTGACACAGAGGGAGTTAGCTGTCAGTGAGAGGATCCAGGGGACTTATCTAAGGAGCCCCTGCTGTTGGTACATGCAGCCTTTTGACTTCGACTCAGTGTGCCGCAGCACAGTGACAGACACTGTGAGAGAGACGAACAGCACAATTGCCATTTGTAAAAAATGAAACATTACTTACACTGGTGTTATGAGAGTCTCCAAGCCAGTCATCTCGGTGCAGTGTAAAACATGTTAAACGCTGGCTTTAAATCTGAATGGATAAAGCATACATTGCCAGTCCTTGGTTTAAAGGTTAAAAAAAAAAAGTCAATACAAAAAGATACAGGCAATACAAAATAAAGGTAGTGCTGTTTTTGCTTTGTTTTTTTTGTGTGTGTGTGTGCGTGTGTGTGCGTGTGTGTACCCCATTTAAAACCAAACATAGAGTTTTACTTTGAAATGAACCAGATTGGCTTCAGCCATCAATATTTTTTTTGTATTGTAACAAAGCCTGGCAACAATCTATGAGAATAAGGATGTGTGCTGGTGAGATAAGTAGTTAACAGCACCAAGATAGATTGTGTTGGTAAATTAAAAAAAAAAATTTAAAAAAAATGCACAAATGGGAAGAACAAGAGAGCATGCCATTCGGGTAAGGCAGATCTGCCAAAATGAACTTTGAAAAAGGCAAAGGAATGTGAGCATCTGCTCCTCAATCCCTTCTGCGCTCTTCGCTGTGCGTCTGTTCCGGCCACATCTCCAGCCGAGAGTGCACTCTGCTCCAGGGTCTTCTCCTGGCTTGATGTGATGCCTCGGGCCTTTTAGATCACACTTGGCCATGGAATACCTCTGGACACTTCAATCATGAGCGCAGGAAGGGCTGGAGGATGTCGGTCGGAGGGAGAGGTTCTGGATTTCCTCGTTTTCCTCCTTAAAGCTCCAACATAAGTGGAGAAACAGGTGAACGGATGGGAGCAATACGCCAGCTCTGTATGTAGGACAGAAAAAAAAAATAGGTTGTGACTGAAGAATTCACCATTGCACACAGAAAAAAAATAAAAAAATAAAACAGGAAGGAACAAATCAAGTGGCCACTGTAACGGAAGCCTGTGTTCGGCGGAGCAATGGTACAGAAGGTTAGCATTATCCTCTACAGTCTGTCCACTCAGGAGAGGCTTTGATGTGCTCATCGGACACCTTGAGTCTTTCTTCCTGTCCCTCTGAAGATACTCGGGTCATGACTAATTCATCTGCCTGCACATACCATGAAGTCTGCATATCTGCACGTGGATTTGAACAAGACACAGAGAAATACAGTGATGTATAATTAAACGCTGCGTCTGAGGCTGTTTGATATTGTGCTGATGAGACAGAATTGCAGATTATCGCTGGGCTTTGACACACAGGTATGCATGCTTTCCTTGCATGATCCGTGTAGAATATTTTTTTTTTCTCTTTCTGCCTCATTTTCTGTCTTTTTACTCGTCTGCTTATTCATCTTTTATGTTCAATGTCGTGCTTATTGTTTTGTTCATTCCTGTTTTGTATTGTAATTGGATTGTGTGTATCTTTAATAATTTAGGGAAAGCAGTGAAGAGTAAAGATAAAAACTAGAAAGGTAAAAAAAGAAAAGAGTGTGGCGTCGGTGCTCGTGATAGTTTTAGTTTATCCATTGTTCCTTTTCGATTATTGCAGTTTGAGTGATTTAATGTGTTTCTCTTTTAACTTCTGTAGACGTAAAAAGTCCATTTTAATTCCAGATGTCAGAGGTTTCACCTTGTGGCCCTTTCTGTGCTGCAAATTGACTCTTTTTGAGAATATTTAATAAAAGCACCTATCCAACTATTTATATAGTTCAAGACTTTGGATTCAGCAGAATGACACAACATAACTGCTGTTCAAATTTACCTTTCAAACACAAACATAACCCTGAATCTTTATTTATTTATTTATTTTTTTTTTTTTTTAGGGAAACAGCAAAACCGTAAAGG